CTACCTACTAGCATTCTACCTTAATTCTCGACCTCCATGACCATACCTTCCTATTAAGGATCATGTCCTCGGTAAGCTGAAGCAACACCATATCCTTCCTAATCACCTTTCCACAATACTTCTTTGGCCCACATCTACTTCTCCTTAGACTCACCAAGGATAACCTCTCATACTTCCTTACTGGGGTATCTGTGCTTCTCCTTTTCACATGCCCAAACCATCCAAGCCTCGCTTTACACATTTTGTCCTACACCGAAGCCACTCCTATCCTGACCCGAATATCTTCATTCCTAATCTTATCAGTCCTGATATGCCTGCACATCCATCTTAACATCCTCATTTCTGCTACTCTCATCTTCTGGATTTAAGAATTCTTAACTGGCCAACACTCTGCCCCATCAACATAGTCGGTCCAATAACCGTTTTGTAAAACTTACCTTTAAGTTTAGGTAAGTTCTAAAGATAAGTTCTCTCATTTTCTTCCTTTTTCATTCCTCTCACACTATCCGTAGGACACTCCCACTCATCATTGTAGCATTGTTTTAACTCTTGTGAAAATGAAACAATTTCATTGTAATAGATGGTCACCTGTCTTTCTCCCTGCTTAGCCTTCCAAAGCTTAATTTTTAATTCAAAAACTTGAGAAGCATTTTCTACATCAAAGTAGGTTTCTTTAACAACTTCCCATACATCCATTGTAAACTAAGTATGGTTTACTTATTGTTTGTTCCATATAGTTTAGAAGCCACACAATCACCAATTAGTTCTTGAACCTTCGGGCATTCATCTTTGGATATCCAGCTTCAAGTTTCCTTACTTCCACCGGTCAAGTGCCCAAGTTTTCCTTGTCCATCAATCGCTAATCAAACATATTAGCCCACTTCAGATAACTTTTTCCATTCAACTTATGGGATGTTAGTTGAGAGGATAAATGAGATGGACAAATGATAAGACTCACTGCTTTGATTCATGGTAGTCTCAGCTGGGATTGCACTAACAGAACCATCGTAATTAGATAATACAAATCAACTCTATCAGAAACTTTACTAACTTGTCTGATCTGATATAATCCCGCTTCATCATAATTAGATACTCCCTTTGTCCCAATTATGTGGCACACTTTCTTTTTTAGTTAGTCTCAAGAAATGATAAGTCTTTATATTTACTTATTTAATAATAATTTCACTTTAAACATCCTATTTTACCCTTAATGTGATGATTTATAGCCACATAAATTTCTATATTTTGATTTGAAATCATAAGTTTCAAAAGTCTTTCTTTCTTTTATTCTTAAACTTTGTGCCCAATCAAACACAATAACATAAATTGGAATGGAGGGAGTAATACAAATCAACACAAGAACTTTAAATTCTTTCCAAAAGGTGTTTAATATATGAGAAACAATATTTTAGTCTCTGGCTGGAAGACGCTAGGAAATGCTTGTTGCATATCTACATCCCACTTAGTTATACATGTATGCTATGTTTGAGTTGATAGTGATTGTGGAGGAAGTCCGAGTAACTAGCATCTTCACTAGTATTAGTTGCAGAATCTGAGTAAATGAGCTAAGGCATATCTATAATTTTGTATTGGCAATAATCTATATTTATTTCGTAAAATTTTGATTGACTTATCAAAAGAAAAAAAGAATGTTGAGATTTTTCAGGTGATGCTTTTTGCTAATTTGAATCGTCAAACTCCATCTCTTAATGAATACCCTTCTTCGTGGTAGTTGGTGTAGACTTAGTTAAATACTAGATGTAGCAGTCCATGCAAAGCATATTTTGCATGGGCCCAAGCCAGACTTACATTCAAATGCAAGAACTCAAAGTGCCTTTTGGAAAAATAGTTTCCCATAATACCTCATTACATCATAAATACAAGCTTAGTAGATGGTCAAGTCTGGACACAACTTAAATGCATATTTTATCCCTAATAGGCATGGTATAAATATGAACCTTTCTCCATCTTTGATGTTGTCCTGATCGGCAACTGAGAACAAGCACATGCAACTGTACACAAATCAAGCTTGTCATGAGCTTTGCAAATTACTTGATAATAGAAAAGGGAAAGAATGGCTGGAATCTATTTTAATAAGTTGAAGTCAGCAAAATCAAATACGAGATGCTCATAGACCGCCCTGTGACATTGTGCATTGGTGTGTCCCGGTTCTTTATATCAAATGACGACGGAGGAAATATCAAACAAGAGAAATCCTAAAAAGAAAAAAGAAAATAGAGGAAGAAGATATAGAATGATAAGGATCTTGATACCAAATTTGATAGAATTTGGCTACAATTAGTTTATAACACTAATTACATCCTAATTACGTAACAATTGACCCAAAGATATTAAAGATAAGAGAAGAAGATTACCAAAGAAGATTTACACCTTCAATGGCAGTCCAAGGAGCTCTTCAAGAACTCAATAAGGTCTCCAAAGAGACTCACATAAACATATCATCCAAAAACTAAAACTAAAAGACTCACCATTTGGCTAAGTAAGCTAATGGTCTAAGGCTCAAGTCCAAATACATAAAACAAGGAAAAGCCTAAACTAAGTAAAATGGGTTGTGTGGCAATGGGGCATGTATATGGGCAATGTATGATCTCTCTCAAGTCTCTAATGTTGATCTAACGTGGTCAACCGTGATCAACCCTTGGTCAAACCCACAATCAAAGTTGGTCAACTCTTGGTAGAGCTCCCCGGTTTTTTCAAATAATGTATACTCATGATCTATTTATAGTCATCTCCCTCCCTTCAAAAAAGATTTGTTCCCAAATATTGACTTGTAATCAAAAGAACACAAGGTGTAAAGCCTCTGGAACATTTCATAAGAATCATTTGACTACAAACTAATCTAGCCAACATGACTTTGAACAAAAACTCTTTAACCATATTTGTTCCCATCATCATATAAAAACACTTGTGATAGAGCATCGAGGGTGTGACCTAGTGGTTAATGAGTGGGTTGAGAACCACGAGGTCTCAGGTTCAAATCCTAGCGGAAACAAAAGTACTAGGTGATTTCTTCCCATCTATCCAAGCCGTAGTGGATAAAGTTGACTGGTACCTATTGCTGGTGGGAGGTAGCAAGTATCCCGTGGAATTAGCCACGATGTGCGCAAGTTGGCGCGGACACTACGATTATCATAAAAAAAATACACTTATGATAGATCCACACATCACAATAAGGAATGACAAAGAGTCCATTCACAACACATAACACTTGTTTCATCCAGCAAAAGTAGTGACATGTGATTCATATATCAAGTATATGGGGGAAATCGACTAAAATGATAGTAACGTTCAACTCAACCACAATCAAGTGTTCATTCCAGTGACTTCTTCAATCATACACCACTTATCATATAGCCAAGTATCATCAAAGATAATAAAGATCAAACTAACTTATCTCATTGTGATTCATCTTGATGTCGCTTTTCGAGTGAGTATTGTATATCAGTTCCTTTATTCTCCATGTGAAGCTCACGCGGATGCAAAAATCTGCATCTTTCGACATATAAAATTCTGTCCAGGAAAAGGTTTACTGTATGATGATCAAGGATTCATATGCAGCACTTTTTTTCTATTTTGATTTTGAGATTTTTTTAAAATTTAGAAATTTGGGATGTCTTTATGATGTAATTAGGCCTTTCCTATTTTGCTTTGCTTTTTTTTGATGTGGATGTCGATTGACTATATTTACTGTCAAATGGATGCTTTAACCTTTCGCTGGAGACTTTTTAATGTTTGAAGGCAATGATATGAAAGAGAAAGGAAACATTTCCTACATATCAAAAAAAAAAAAAAAAAAAAAAAGAAAAAAAAAGAAAGGAAATATTTCCTCTATCACAGGGCAAACAATTATATTTTCCGGCATTTAATAGATTACTTATACAAATCACAAAATAAAAGAATGAATTTCAAATATTGGTATCATGGTAAAGCACAACCCAAAATATAAATGGACGGAATGATCTAGCTATACCATCATCGAGCCGAAAAGCGCAAGTACCATGTGAACTCGTGTTATGTATTACAAAACACTTCATTCTTCTCTCTTTTTCTGATGTGGGATTTGCGTAAAGTGTCATATGTACCTCGTTTTTCAAAAGCTTGCAAGCCTAGAAGCTTGCTAATCCTTTTCTTTGACCCC